GTATGACATTCCTGGTGTTTCTATTCACTTTTTTCTTGCTCTTTGTAGGTTGTCTTCTCTTTCACATCGGGTTGTCTGTCCTTTCATGGGTTTTCAGGACTACAGTTATTTGGTGTTTCTTACTGTCACCTCGTTTTGTGCGGCGCTGGCGGAGTCGCTCCAGCTTGCGTTCAGGATGGACGTCACATCTGCCCCGTTTCGTACGCTTTCTCGTGTTTTGTTTCACCTCCGGCCTGCTCATACGTTGCCCAAGCCATCCTGGTCTTTGATCAGGGTGTCTTCTCAGTTTGTGGTAGCCCCTTCGGTTCAGGTTTCTGCTCTTTGGTACTGGTGGTAGGTTTGTACGTTTGCAGCCTTTCTCCGTCCTTCTGGCGACAGTCGAGACGGCTGCTTTCTGGAGGGATTCTTGGGTTATTGATGCTCGATTGGTTTGGCCGGGGGTGCGTCCTGTTGTCCGGTTGCGCTTTTTGCCGTTACCTGCGTACCGTGTCTGGGGATGCGCTTTGGGTTGATCCGGTTCCCCTCGTTCCCTGTTTCAGGGCTCGGGTCTCCCAGGTCGTCCGCAGAGTTTTTAAGTCTTCCAGCCTGCGGTCTGTCCTTGCGCCCGTGCTGTTCGGATGTTTGCCGCTTTTACTGCTGTGTTGGTGATGTCTAGGTCTCATTTCGGGAGCAGGGATTTGAGGGTCGCACAGGTTCTTGGCCGCCCATTCTTTATGCGTGTCTGCTCCTGTGCGTTCTTGTTGCCTTGGGTCGCAGGTTACAGCCTGTTGTCTCAGCTTCGCGTTGCGGAGTTTGTGGCGGCCGCCTCTCGGGTCAGCCCTTTCTTTTCCTTCTCTTTGGGTATGAGTAGGTGCTCCCCACAGAAAACCAGCGTCGAATGTAATGAGTGATGTAATGTGGCGGCCGCCTCTCGGGTCAGCCCTTTCTTTTCCTTCTCTTTGGGTATGAGTAGGTGCTCCCCACAGAAAACCAGCGTCGAATGTAATGGGTGAGCCTCCGGGGCTCACCCATTTTCTGGGTGAGCCCCGGAGGCTCCCTGGCAACCCTCCCTCCCACCGGTCGGCAGTTTTTTCGCGTTGGTTGAAGCTTAGCTTCTGAACTGATGCTAGGCAGCCGGCACGGTAGGTCCGGGGCTCCCCCCTCTCCCTCTCGGGGCGGGAGGGCTGCGCGGATGATCGGCGCGGCAGTAAAGTGTGATGTTTGCTCGTTTCCTTGGGATTGTAGGGAGTTTCTACCGCTGTTCGTTTTTTTGTTTCAGTTTTTTACCATGTGGGGTTTGTTTTGTTATACCTACCTTTCTGGGTGCCTAACCCCGGTCGATGGCAGATAAGGAAAACCCCAACCACAAGGGGGGTTTTCCAGGGCCATTGCTCCCTAAAACCTCTCTGAAGGGGCCAGGTTCTGGCGCTGGTCCCCGATAGGTCTGAGCTCCTTAGCTAATGTCCCAGTCTAATATAACATACATTAGCCCGATAAGCTCCAGGGAGCCTCTGGGGCTCACCCAGAAAATGGCGTTTCATTACATTCAACGCTGGTTTTTTAAACACCCGAAAATTATTATGGACTTGCTTCTATGTGCAGTGTTTTGTACTAGTTTACTGTTGGTTACCAGTTCTTTCCTAACTGCTTGTCTAACTTCTGCTTCTTCTTGGTCATTTCTGGTTTTGACCTCCGACCACACTTCCTTGATTCTCATTTTCTCTTTTACAACTTGTAGATTCGTCTCTTTAATTTCCTCATTGCACTTTTCTAGTTCTTTATTAACCTCCTCTATGCGAGTTGTTCATTAACTTTCTCTTTGCATATCATTGCCTAACTAAGTTAGCCCTCAGTGTTCCTTGGAGTTGTTCACCATGAGTATTTTCTTGTTAATTTTTGTCTAATTCACCTTTTTTCTTCACCTTTTACCTTTCACCTTTTTCTTTCTCTTTTTTCCTTTTTCAATTCACCTTTTAAAAATTTCTAATTTTCTAATTCACTAATTTAATTTCTAATTCTAATTCTAATTAATTTCTAATTCTAATTCTAATTAATAATTTTCTAATTCCTTGATTTGTTCTTCCCGTCTCTTTACCTTGTCCATTAATGCAGTAATTTTCTGACCTTGCTGGAGAACACTTTCTTTTAAAGTACGAAGCTCATCCTTGAGAGCTCCATTTTCTTCTTCTAATTCAAGTACTATTTCTTTATACTTATTTAGGAGGTTCTCAATAATCTCTAACCTGCCAAGAAAACCTCCTTTCAATATATCTTGTGGTGAGAATCCTTTGAAACAATCATCTGTTGGTGTGTTTACCTTTCTGTGGTGGAGGCCATTTTTGTTATTGACGATAGTTTGTTATGTAATATAAACTTTTCCAACACAGAATTTTCCCTCGCTTTCACTTATTACTTGTATCTTATTTACTTGTAAACTTCCCTATACCTTTATGTAATCTGGGGGACACCCTCAACCTGTTCCCAATACTTATGCAATTTGATATTCTTGAAGCCTGCCTCCTGACGCTGCTGAACTGTGTATCCGAGGTGGTGCTTTTGATATTTTCTTGGTTGCTCGGGTGCCACCTCATACCCAAGCGCACCACTACCTATTATTCAATATTTTCAGAGTCCTACTCGATACCTGCTTGATAGGTTTCTGGGAGTTCTTCTACTCCCCAAGCCCGGCCCGAGGCCAGGCTTGACTCATGACAGCTTGGTCCACCAAGCTGTTGGCTTGGAGCGGCCCGCATGCCCACATATCCACCCCAGCCCAGTTGCTCCAGCACTCCTTGGAGAAAAATGATCTAGTTTTCCCTTAAAGATGTCTACGGTTGTTCCGGCAAAATTTCTCATACTCGCTGGGAGGATGTTGAACAATCGTCTATTTCTGATCTTTATACAGTGCTCTCTGATTGTGCTTATGGCACCCCTGCTCTTCACTGGTTCTATTCTGCATTTTCTTCCATATCGTTCACTCCAGTATGTTGCTATTTTACTGTATAGACTTGGGACCTAGCTCTCCAGTATTTTACATGATATATATATATCAATAATATACACAACTTTCTAGTGAGTACATTTGGAGAGCTTTAAAACGATCCCAATAATTTAGGTGCTTTATGGCGTCTATGTACGCCATATATGTTCTCTGTATTCCCTCTATTTCAGCAATCTCCCCCACTCTGAAGGGGGAAATGAGTACTGAGCAATACTCAAGACGGGACAGTACAAGTGATTTGTATAGTACAATCATTGTGATGGGTTTCCTGAATTTGAAAGTTTCTCGTAATTCATCCTATCATTCTTATGGTTGTCGCAATATTTGCTTGGTTATGCTCCCTAAACGTTAGGTCGTCAGACATCATTATTCCCGAATCCTTTACATGCTGCTTTCCCACTATTAGGTAGATTTGATTGTGTTTTGTTCCCTGTATTATGTTTAAGGTCTTCATTTTTACCGTACCCGAGTACCTGGACTTTATTAGTCGTTGTCAATGGGATGCGACACCCTCTTAAACGATGGACATGCCACATGCCCCCTCCCCCCCCCCAAAAAAAAGTGATATTTCACTCGAAGACTTATTTTTATCATAATATACCGACACTGCCACACAACCTCCTGGTCTGATCCATTTTCTCGGCCTCGACACTAAAGAATGGGAAAATAATAATACAAAATTATTCTTTACTTACACTTTTCTTTCTTTTCCCCATTTCCTCTACATTTTCTTTCACAGATGTAAACAGTCCTCATTATTTCCATATGTTCCTTTGTAAGTGTCAAATGCTTTATTCAATTTCCAAAATCACAAATAGCAAGGGTATAAAAAGATAAAGCTACATTACGACACATTACCTTATAAGGTGAAGGTGATGTGCCAAAAATAGTAAAAATAAATAGTAGTAATGGCAGTATTAGCATAATACTGCCATCATAATACATATTACCACTACACCACAGTCTCCGTGGTGTAGTGGTAAGACACTCGCCTGGCGTTCCGCGAGCGCTATGTCATGGGTTCGTATCCTGGCCGGGGAGGATTTACTGGGCGCAATTCCTTAACTGTAGCCTCTGTTTAACGCAACAGTAAAATGTGTACTTGGATGAAAAAACGATTCTTCGCGGCGGGGATCGTATTCCAGGGACCATAGGATTAAGGACTTGCCCGAAACGCTACGCGTACTAGTGGCTGTACAAGAATGTAACAACTCTTGTATATATCTCAAAAAAAAAAAAAAAAAAAAAAAAAAAAAAAAAAAATATAAGGAGGCTAAAACAGAGCAGGAAAGCTGATCATACTAGTTTTAATCTTGAATGCTCGTAACAGCTGACAGTATGTTGCCAGCATCCAAGGTCTCAGATTTTTGACCAAGAGAACACCATTACAATCACTAAGTGAAGCCGGGATACCACATTTCCTCTGTTGTGAAGAGAGTGACATCCCCAAAGTCTGCTAAAAAATATGAATATAATACTAAGCTCACTCAGTACCTACATCAATATTAAACTCCTTTGTTTAGAGGCTGTAACCAATGGGAGGGAGCCGGTCGGTCGAGCGGACAGCACGCTGGACTTGTGATCCTGTGGTCCTGGGTTCGATCCCAGGCGCCGGCGCGAAACAATGGGCAAAGTTTCTTTCACCCTATGCCTCTGTTACCTAGCAGTAAAATAGGTACCTGGGTGTTAGTCAGCTGTCACGGGCTGCTTCCTGGGGGTGGAGGCCTGGTCGAGGACCGGGCCGCGGGGACACTAAAGCCCCGAAATCATCTCAAGATAACCTCAAGAAGTCACAAGAGGTCATCGGCATGTAACACTTTTCTCCAGCCATTACATTGTACCTCAATTTATTGCTTAGTACTTTCCCACAGTTATATTTTAAACTTAAATATGTTTAGGCTTCAATACAAATTATTTAAAAATTATCAACTTTTTGAAATACAAATAAATTGAATTACAAATGTAAAAACCCACGTGGAGGAAGTGCAAGTATAATGGTGGTGATGTGTGATGTACTGACCTGGCACCACAACTTGAGAGGCGAGCACCAAGGAGCAGAGGGTCCGGGAGCAGTGCCACCACCAGAGGGAGCACGGTACAGGTGTGGCCAAGGACACACAAGCACACACAGGCAGGAGCAAGCAGACAAGAAAGTACTAGGTGAGTGCACTATGTCCTGGGACACTAAAAAGGCCCATAGCATATCCCAAAGAGGTCACAGTATCACATCTTTTGGAAGTTAGTTTTCAAGATATGTTAATTAATGGTTCTACAGTAAATATAAAAAGTCCAGATTATTAAGAAATTAGGCATGATGTCCCGTTGCTGAATCTCAGAGCTATAAATATCCAACATATAAAACATGCTATTTCTTCTATTGGTAATATTTCTTTTTAACATTTGAGAGAAATTTATATAAAAATCTATCAACAGTCATGAAAAGGCATATACAAATTAAGTTTTTAAGGAGACTAATATTCTCAACCTTCAAGGTAATGTTTGCATTCACTGGCTAATGAATCCGACAGACAACAAGAGAACATCATGAATTTGGCAAATTAAACAAGGACACTTACATCTAACAATGAATCCCTTCAGTAGCTACAATTTGTCCCCGAATAAACCGAAAGAAAAACCGATTAGACTGACCATGTAACCCGTGACATCAGGAATATGCTACCTAGCAGAGAATGGAGCATGACTAAACAAAAACATGGTATCAACTTAATTTTGTGACCAGATTTGTTGCAAAATATTACTGAATTATTTATGAGCATCATTAAGATCAATTCTTACAGAATAACATTTAGCCATATGTTGACCAAGTACTCAAGTCTTCAGAAACCTTAATGAAAATAGGGAAGATAATTTTGCACATAGATTTGATTTTAGTTAAATTTTATATTATGTAGGCCTACAGTAAATTGCACATCACAGTGACAGAACTGCTTACAGCCGTAACAACAATTAAAATGTTCTAGATGCTAATGTTGTTCAGCAACATTAGCAGATGTTGTTAATGTTGTATTTGAATTTTGTTTCTAAATACTTCCCACGTAAGTTTAATACACATACTAAAAAGAGGACCAATCTCATCACAAGTTCATACAAAATGCAGAAGACTGCTTGAAATTACTCCATAAGATTGTGATCTTAAGAATGTGCTAGTCTTATATCAATTTCTTTGGGGATGTTATACTTACAACACAGTGGATAACTAAGCCACATCAGTATTACAAAAATTAATTGAAATGTGATCTCTAAAGTATATTACATATCTAATACATCTACTGTACTTCAATTGGTTAAATAAAATACAGTACAGTATATCCATTGTCTAAATAAAAAATAATTGTGTGGAAGCACTCGCATGTACAGTGTATGTATAGTATATATACAGATTATAGACATAATACACAGCATACATAACAAGGAACTTACCAGTCTAAGGTGTTAATATTCAGCTCAGAATTCCTTGGAGAAAATATGCAAAGTACTGTATAGCACATTTGACATAAATGGATATGCTTTCAGGTTGCATGCCCCTAGTTCAAGAACCATGACACCTCAGTGCCTTAACTAAGTTGTCTAAGGTATTAATGTGATCTTACAGAGACATGCACAGTTCATTTACATACATTTTGTCAGCATGCAGTTTTCATGCAGTGATGATAATGAGTATTTTACAAGTATTGATTCAGCACTAACTACTCAGGCTAACTAGTGCATGTGTGGATTTGGACAGAGTCAGAAGAAAATGTAAAATAAAGAACATAGAAACAGACTGAAATAGCAAATTATAATAAATCAGGATGACTCGGGTTCTGATAAAAAGATCAAGAACATATTAGTGACAAATGTATAAAATGATAATATAAAAATCAAATGAATACTCCCTAAACAGGACAACTCAACCAATATTCAAATAATGTAAAAACTGTTTGAAATGAAAACAATTGAAACCAATCATAAATATACTGTAACTTGTATTTTTTTGTTTTTAAATATTAAAACAATACCTACAAGCTTTCAATGCATAAATATATTGATGTATTTACTATAACCAATAATATTTATTTGACAATATGAAAAGTTATCATGCATGATATCTTTTATATCAAAGTCAACCACTTACCAGCTGGCCGTGCAGCATTCCAACCACCTGGCGGAGGGGCTGGGAAAGGTGTGGGTCCTCCTGGAGGTGCTGGAATTCCTGGTGGCGGTGGCGGCCCTCTTACACCAGGAGGCAAAGGAGGCGGAGGGGCACCCATACCAGGAAAAGGTGGTGGTGGTGGTGGTCCACCCATTCCTGGTGGGGGTGGTGGTGGCGGTGGTCCACCCATTCCTGGCATGGGTGGTGGTGGTGGTGGTCCACCCATTCCTGGCATGGGTGGTGGCGGTGGTGGTCCACCCATTCCTGGCATGGGTGGTGGCGGTGGTCCACCCATTCCTGGCATGGGTGGTGGCGGTGGTGGTGGTCCACCCATTCCTGGCATGGGTGGTGGTGGTGGTGGTGGCCCAAACATTCCTGGCATGGGTGGTGGTGGTGGTGGTGGTCCACCCATTCCTGGCATGGGTGGTGGTGGTGGTGGTGGTGGTGGTCCACCCATTCCTGGCATGGGTGGTGGTGGTGGTGGTGGTGGTGGTCCACCCATTCCTGGCATGGGTGGTGGTGGTGGTGGTGGTGGTCCAAACATTCCTGGCATGGGTGGTGGTGGTGGTGGCCCAAACATTCCTGGTGGTGGCGGTGGAGGTGGGGGCGGTCCACCCATTCCTAGAGATGGAGGAGGAGGTGGAGGTGGTGGTGGTGGTGGTGGTGGTGGTGGGGGGGGAGGCCCACCCATTCTAGGTAGTAGAGACAGAGAAGGAAGCATGCTTGGGACAGGTGGAGGAGGGGGTTGTGGAGGTGCAAAGAGTCCAGAAGGCGATAAAGGTATTCCCATCCCTTGCATTCCAGAAGGTTGCTGCTGTAAAGGAAACAGGCCAGTATCCATGCACTTTATAGGGGAGGTTGAAGCATCGGCCACACCTTTTTCTGTAGGTGGGGGAGGGGGAGGGGGAGGAGGGGGCAGTGACTGAGGGCCATTAGAAGCTGCAATTTTGCTTGGAGAGGTAGGCGAGTCAAAGTCTGCCTTTGTCTTGGCAGTGAGTTCCTGAAATAAAATTTAGTACTGTACTTCAATAATGAACTTTGTTATAAACAGATATTGTAGAACCTAACAACATCAGGAAATGCAAAGGATATAGTGCAAGGATAAGGCTCCTATAAGCAGTGAAACCTCGGTCTACAAATGCGCCAAGGTTTTTTCATTTTTTCTTTGCTGGAAGAACTGTAAAGTTTTGCTGAAAAGACTCGCTCAGATAAAGCTGTAGCAAATTGTCATGTTAACCTTTTTAATGACAATGTGATGTCTCACTACAGACAAGTGTTAAAACAGGGAGAAATTCGTTTCTTTAATCAGATTCTTAGTGAGACAAACAAGCAGTTAGCCACTGTCAGGCATGTGGTATGAAGGCATACCACAAACTGTGGTATGCCTACAAAACACAGAAGAGAGTACCCCAGAAACATCATCACTGCCTGATTTTATAATGGAAGGGGCCTCTCTGTCCAAACACTGACACCCCCTGCTCCTCACCTTCCATATGCCAACAAAACTCCTCAATAAAGGTAAGGTACAGTAAAATGTAAAAGAAATCTGTATAAAATGTATTTTTATTTAAATATTTTTGGGTGTGTGGAATGAATTAATTAAATTTACATAATTTCTTATAAGAAGTCTCGGTGGTGTAGTGGTAAGACACTCGCCTGGCGTTCCGCGAGCGCTATGTCATGGGTTCGTATCCTGGCCGGGGAGGATTTACTGGGCGCAATTCCTTAATTGTAGCCTCTGTTTAACGCAACAGTAAAATGTGTACTTGGATGAAAAAACGATTCTTCGCGGCAGGGGATCGTATTCCAGGGACCTGCCCGAAACGCTACGCGTACTAGTGGCTGTACAAGAATGTAACAACTCTTGTATATCTCAAAAAAATATTTGATTCGGTGTACAAATGTTTGGTTTACGATCCGTTTCTTGGAATGGATTAAATTTGGTGACCAAGGTTCCACTGCACAAGAATTTTTTGTTTACTTGTAATTGTTTTTCTATGCACTGGAAGCTTGTCATATTTAATGGCTGTGCAGCATTGTGGTTAAGGTCAGGAAGCATCACCATGTTATTAAAACCTAGCTGAATACCACACTTGCTTTTGGTGCAAAAATCTTCACATCCATCAGTAATGCAAACAATGTGCATTAACTTAGTATCCAGTCATATTTTCACATCTTTTGGGTTACCTAATTTATTCAAATGCCCTTCATAAACTATACAGAACCTCTCTCAATAGGTTATCTTGAGGTTATCTTGAGATGATTTCGGGGCTTTTAGTGTCCCCGTGGCCCGGTCCTCGACCAGGCCTCCACCCCCAGGAAGCAGCCCGTGACAGCTGACTAACACCCAGGTACCTATTTACTGCTAGGTAACAGGGGCATTCAGGGTGAAAGAAACTTTGCCCATTTGTTTCTGCCTCGTGCGGGAATCGAACCCGCGCCACAGAATTAAGAGTCCTGCGCGCTATCCACCAGGCTACGAGGCCCCATAGGTAGCCACATTAAGTGCTTAGACAATTAGGCTATTGCACTATTAAAATTTCAAGTTTCCTATACTAGACCAGTAGCAGTTCAGCCTCTACCTCTATCTTTTTTGTAGGATAAAGTAGATAATAATTAAAACATGGATGAAACAATGAAACAAAGCAATGAATGAATAATAAATGCATAAATTACCTGAATTGCAGCTACTGTTTGGAGTTTCTCCAGTTCCAACTCAAGTTCTCTGATCTTGTGCTCGTACTGGCATAGCTTTTCTGCCTGTTCACCTCTCATGTTGAACAGAGAGACCTCCTGGTCATGCTCTATCTGATCTAGGGACTCCTTGTGCTCCCGCTTAAGACCCATCACAACTTGCTGAAATTCTAAAAATTGAGCAGGTTACCAGTGAAATTTGGGATTTCTTTTAAACAAGGGCAGAAATCTTTAATAAATACAGGAAGCCTCTTAATTTTATGCTATACAATTCAGCACAATTTTTAAAAGATAATAAACTTTATTGTTTCTTACATGCATAGTTAACTGAAGTCCTAATATATTTGGTTGATTTGTATCAAACAATGTAACAAATTATACACTTTACTCATTGGGTGTTCATAATCATTAACAATATGTACTTGGAAATATTAAAAATTTAGTCTTGCTTTGCATTTATGATTTAATCAAGAATGAATTCTACATTAACACTTTTGTTGCCCCGGCGGGTGACCCGCTGCGCAGCTCAAGGTCGGCTGAGCGGTGTACGTGAGCTCTTCACCACCCACAAACGTTTATACTCTTTTTAGCTTTCCGACCTCAATTTTCATACTACATCATTCAATTTGGTATCAAATTGTTCACAATAGAATGCTTAAAAGGAATATGTGCATATAAGAACAAGTACGTCTCACTTTCCTATACTTTAGACCCACCGCACACAGCAAGGTAGGCCGAGAGCTCACCACCACCCACAAATGTTTATACATATTTTAGCTTTCAGACTTGACCTCAACTTTCATGTTACGTCATTCAATTTGGTATAAAATTGTTTGCAATAGAATGCTGTAACGGGATATTTGCATAAAAAATATACAAGCCTCACTTTTCAGTACTTTCGACAAAAACTCAATATCTTTTCCCTCATACACGTTTCTTTCAATGCTTTCATCATGGATTGGCTCTGTTCTGATCAATATCCATCTGGAAGTCAATTTGCAGTGTTTATAAAACTGGTAACAACAAATACCTGAAATAAAATAACCAGAATGGGGAAACTTTTTTGACTCGAGGGAATGTCACAGCTGTCATGAGCGAGGTCACAAGAAAAGTGAGCCTCCAGCGTGGGTGAGTGCCCACACGGCGGGGTCAGGATGCCACGTGGAGTATACAGAGAATGAGAAGAAGTTGGAGCTCATTTTAAAACTCCCACAGAATTCAAACAATAAATGGAATTTCTACAAATTTTTAAAATTAATGATGCCATTTGTGTCATCAGGGATACTCCATATTTTGGTTCCGAGACGGAATGTGCGACATCGGGCAGCGAAAGTGTTAAATTAATATTCACAAATTTTTCATTACTACTCATTTAGTAAACTAAGTGGCAGCAGTGTGTGTGTGTGTGTCTACCACTTATTTTAAACATTTTTCTTAAAACAAAAAAATATATTTATTTCTTTACAGTCCACTGCCTTAATGCCGCTGCCCACTGGATGCGGGGGGGGGGGGGGGGGGGGGGGGGAAGGACAAACATATCAATTATGACACTAGCTCTCCACATATGTCAGTTGTTTACTTTAGTAACTGGACCTGTGGTCGATCTCGAACCCAATGATGATGTAACGACGGGTATTGAATTTTGTAATTAGCTTATCAAGATTGTAACTTGCTTAGCTAAATGAATTGTGGGGTTCAGCTCCTGAGCCTATTATGTGCCTCTAACCCTTTCCACTACTGCCCACAAGATGGGTATAGGGTGCATAATAAATGAACTAAACTAAAACGGAGGTGAGCATTCCACTCCAATTAATATTCCAGACATCCCTGTGCAGAGGAATCTTAGCAGATATATGGATAAAGGCAAACATAGTACTAATTTATAAAAATGATAAGAGGAACCACTAAATTACAGACCATTAACAGGTATGATAGTCAAAACACTAGAAAAACAGTTAAAGCCAAATGGATTGAACACCTAGAGAGTAATGACATAATAACGGACAAACAGTATGGTTTTCGAACAGGAAGATCCTTGCATACGAATCTACTTAGTTTTTATGATTGAGCCACAGAGATACTATAGGAAATAGGTGGTTGAGTTGACTATTACTCTGGCCTAAAAAAAAAACCAGCGTTAAATGTAATGAAATGCCATTTTCTGGGTGAACCCCAGAGGCTCCCTGGAGCTATCGGACTGATATGCGATATATTAGTCTAGGGCATTAGTTGATGGAGTTCAGCCTACCTCGAGCCAAAACCTGGCCCCCCCCCCTCAGAGAGGCACAGGGAGCAATGACCTATGGAAAACCCACTTGTGGTTGGGGTATTCCTTGTCTGCCATCGATTGAGGTTAGGCACCAAGAAAGGTAGGTATAACAAAAACCCCCACTTCGTAAGAAAATTGCAACCAAAGACCGAACAGGGAGGCAGAACTCCCCCAGCTCTCAAGGAAACAAGCAAACGTCATACACCGCCGCTACGCTGCTTATCCGTGCAGCCCTCCCCTCCCTGGGAGGGGGGAACCCCAGACCCACAGTGCCGGCTACTAACACCCCAGTTCAGAGGCCAAGCATCAAATGTAAAACGGAACTGCCAACGGGAGGAAGGGAGGGGTACCAGGGAGCCTACGGGGTTCACCCAGAAAATGGAATTTCATTACATTTAACGCTGGTTTTTTGTGGGGAGCCCCTTCAGCTCCCTTGAGCTACATAAACAAAGGTAAGTAAAAGAGGGACTTACCCGAGACAGAGCCACCACATGCTCCTCAATGCTATGTCGAGACAACTGCCTGCAATCTGTAACCAAAGCAGCCAGCCCCCCAAACTAGCCACAAACCAGACCAGTCCAATCTACTGGAAGAGGCAGAGCTGTGGAAAATGCCCCGGGTTCGGACACAGAGCCGGCAGCGCCCAAAATCAAGGCTGGGCTGGCCATCAAGGAGCCACTAGGACGACTATCCTGTGGGAAGATCCCAACTGAGCAAGAACCCAAAGCTACAGCTGGACCAGGGGGAAATAGGTACAGGTAACCCCCACCTCAGCAAGTCCTGCCAAAAGGCATCCACCGCAAAGGCTCCGCAGTCGAGGAAGGGCGCCACAAATATCGAGAGACACCGACAACGCTGATGCAAAGAGGTCCACCACAGGGAGCCAGTATGGCCGGCAGAGCCCTACTGAAGGGGTCGGCGTCAACCGTCCATTCCATGGACAGTAGAATAAACTGAGATGGGCCTTCTGCCAGGATGTTGGACACTTCCCGGATCTGAACTGCACGAAGAGCCAAACCCCGAGAAACCAGCAGACGAGCCACTCGAAGCGACCAGCCCCAAAAAGCCAAGGATTGAAGAGAACCCCATGGGGTTCAGGCAATGAACCACTGGAAAGCAGTCCGAATGGAGCTGTATTTATTTATTTATTTATTTATATACAAGAAGGTACAGTGGGTTTGTGAAAATACATAGCATAGTACAGTATTTACAATCTTGTAAAGCCACTAGTACGTGCAGCGTTTCGGGCAGGTACTTAATCTAACAAATAATTTTAAGTAGGTAAATTCTATCAGAATTAATAAAATGATAAATACATTGCAAGAAAAAAATTGTATTGTGAAGCCCCGAGAGACCCGCTTCAGAGCGAGAGATATTGAAGCGGATCAAGAGTCCTACACAAGGCCCAGTCAGGTTTGACCCAGGGACGGAACCAAATGGGACTTCAGCCAGTTCATCAGGAACCCAGACCTGGCGAACCGAGAAAGAACCACCCCTCCGGTGAGCAGACAAGGAGACTGGGTGGGAGCCCACAACAACCATGCGTCGAGGTGGGCCAACACCCGAATACCGAGCAGATGTAGAAAGCCACTATGAACCGAGTAAGACAAGGAAAACACGAGGTGTCAGAAGCCAGCTGAAGGAAACAATAAAAACAAGAAGCGTGCTGCCCCACCAAGAACCAACCCAGTCCCCGAACCCCAGATGAAGTGGATCATGCTAATATGCTATCCAAAAGGCCATACACATCACTCAATAACTTTGACTCAAGAAGAAAGATCTGGGGCAGAGTCATCCAGAATCCAGCAGTACAGACAAATCCAAAAGGAACCAAAGATCCGCACAGTCCCGATGCGGAACTGGACCAAGGTGACTCGATGGAGCGGAGGGGAAGAAGCCTGCCCTGCCAACCCCACCAGCCCCAAATCCCCCGAAAGGAGGAGCTGCCCAATGCCACCACAGGCCGGAGGACACGACCCGAACTGCCCAGGAACCGCGGGACCAAGAGTGGGTAAAGAAAGCCACCCTCCTTTCAAGTGCCCTGTCAACAGGGCGACCTGCGTAGGGACCAGTGTCACCTCCGAGGGAAAATATATATTAAAACAAAAGAAACAGAAAAAGCAAGAAGCCGACTTACGAGCAGAGCGAGCACTGCGCCGACCAGACTAAGACTGCTTCGGAGGCGGCACCGGCACAAAAGCTGTACTATAAGCCCACCTCAAGCCAAAGCCCTGGCACGACCACAAAACTCATGACAAGACCAAGAAGTGCAATCTGCAAACCAGGAAAACCCCGGAAACTCCAGAAGAGGCAATACCGGGGCGCACAGGAGGAACCACCAAGGACCACCCGTACACAAAAGGGGAAAACTCGAGAGGAAGAAAACCTCCAAAAAACAAAATCGAAGAACCCAAAGACCCCGGAAACTAACCCAGGGGGGTGAGCTCTAACCACATTTGCCAGCGGAATGCACCACAAAAATGAAGGGCAAAACACATGACCCAGACAGAACCCCCGGCGAAAACAACCAGAAAACTGGCCAAAAATTGTGGGTCAAAAGGCATGGGAGTAAGCAGAGCACACCAGCACAGACACTGGGCTCAAAAACCAGGGTCCAGAACCAAAACACAAACACAAAACCAGGTGCAAAAAAAAAAAAAATACCCAAACGGTCCCAGAGGAACAGAAAGGACAGAACACCCCATAAGAAAGAGCAAAACAGAGCCATGGCAACGGGAGAATAAAAAAAACTCCAGACCGAGGCAAAAAACTGCCCCAAAAATGTGACCGCACACTCCCAGGCACATGTAAACCAACTGCAGCACTGCCCTGGTGGCCAGGCTGGGAAGTGCCCGCAAAATGATAATGGCCACCAAAACAAAAGGAGAAGCAACTGACGTA